TAGAAAGAGAGAAATCTGTAATCGGATAGCTATGAAACAAAACCACGTGGTTCTTATTTTAAAAAGAGCTGTTAAATGATATTAGAATTAGACGCTTTCATAGAAGCACTGTGCAAAGCAAGCTGTGTAAGCCACTGACAGCATTGCTACCCGACCTAAAATAACACCGATCAACACAGTCAGTCTGCTGTCAGATTCCTCCTCTTTTCAGATTTTTGTCTTCACAAGATTACCTACAGCTTCTGTCATCCTGCTTGAAGTGCAATTTCTCCTACTCATTAACCAAAAATCATGCAAGTTAAGGGTGAAATTAATCTCTGAATCAAGCCGGTCACAGGAGCACAGGAAAGCTGCAACCAACATTTTGTGCAAGCGCTACCCTCTGCTCCTCAAATCCCATGGAAGCCCTCCCTGGTCCTTCAGAAATGCTCTGTCCCACAAGAGGGCTCCCGCTCCCCGCGGTCCAGCCCCTGGCCAAGCCCAGCGACTGCCGCCCGAGAGGGACGAGCCTGGGTGCAACCCTCTGCTCGGCCCCATGCCCTCAAGGGCAAAAGAGATTTATTCATCACGGAGGAGTATTTAACGTGCCAGGTTCTGGACCCGTCCCACTGCTCAGAGCACACGGCATGCGATGAGCAAAGAGGGTTTGTTGGAAAGCACGAAACTTTGTTAAGAAACTTAGATGCTGGAGGTACGGTTTACGGGAGCTTCACAGCAACATGACCTGGAGCGATGAGGAGCCCTGACAAAGCCAAGATGGGGCGGCAGGGGGACAGGGTACCGAGACACCTCCAGCTCCCAAGTCCCTCCTCAGGTACGCTAAGTACAAACCAGCACGGCCGAGGACAGGGAGATTCAGTTCTCTCCCTCCCCGCCACGTTTAAAACAAAACAAAAACCTTTTCAACCCAACCCAACTTGGTATGCCCTACGGTAAAAATAAAGCCGAGCTTTTTGCAGGACAGAGACCCCAAGAGAACAAAGAATAACTGGTCTCATCCTGGGCCACATGTGGGAAATGGTCCATTTGAAATTTTTCAGGAGAAGGGGCACAGGTTGCTCAACTCTACATAAATAATATCTACCTGAGCTGAAGCAGTTTAAAGGAGTTTTAATTTCAATACTTGAATGCAAAATTAACAGACAATTACATTCAAAGTACCCAAAACAGGAACCTAGCAAAGCACACCCATGGGCTCGCACGGGTGCAGGAGACATGCCCATCTCTGCAACTTCTTCTGACATGGGAGCTCTGCTATGCCATTTACTATTTTTGGCACCTGTCTCTACACTTTCTAATTTTTATTTTCTCTCGGTAAAATTAACATCCGCCCATAGACAAGACTACTTATTTCACCTGATATGCACTAACTTGACAGAAGATTCAACGTTTCTATACCCAAGCAGACTATCAGGAAAGTCCTCTCTCTATAGAGGCGTCCCTCGCCGCAGCCAACAGCCTCACGTGCCGCGGCCCCCGAGCTCTGCTGCCCTCCCACACACCGTGCTTCCTCCGCGCTCGATACACGACTTCACCGTTAAAGATCTCAAAAATGCCCGAGTGGGACACACATTTCCCACTAGCCCATTCTCCAGCCCTTACCAACCTCCACTTCTTTTCACTCAGATTGCAACACAGAAGGCAGAACTCCAGAAAATATTTGTAGTAAGTCTCCAAAATGTGTTTATCAAGCCAGAAACGATCATGCGGACCTCCAGCACGGCACAACAATTTGGAGGCACTGAAGGGACATTTCGCACCCTGGCAAGCCGCCATAATTTACTTTTATTTATACAGTGGGATCCTACACTTGTTCCAGAACTTGGTTTAATACACAGTCGTCTTCAACTTCAGCCACCTGCTCCAGCTGTAACATTGCTGTTCGGCTGAAGTAAGTGAAGGGGTGGAATTGGAAAAGAATCGTGAATCCTAAAGCAAAAGTCTTTTGTAAATGAGAAAACTGTTTCAGATCTAAAATCCCTAGATACAGAGCTATATAAAACTCCTTTTGGACAAACATAATAGGTCACCATACTACTCAGCTCAGCAGTAACACATTTAAAATCCAGACTATACAAAACCTAATTAGTAATCCTATGTTTTAGTAAAATATCCATTCATCAGCGCAGGACTACTAAGAATACATTTTTCCCCCCTATGCAAACTCTCTTTTATAGGTTCAGATGCATTAAATTAATTTTTCTTTAACTCTTTAAAACCATCCTGACTCCAATATTTGTAAAGCATTTGAAAACATTTAGTCTCTTTTTGTTTTCTGCTTAAGAATGTCTTTTTTTGATCGCTTTCCTATGTTTTTTTCTCCAAGAGAACACACTGACCAAACGCTAAGCATGCGGTCGATAAACAGATGAGCAGCGATGGCTGGCTAAAAAGGAAAGCCATGGAAAATCTCACCTGCAGCGCAACGCCTGAACTGAGAGCAAGGGACCAAGGAAACTCCAATTTGTCAAAACGATGGGTTAAAACTTTGCAAAGGTTGCCAAACATTTACGTTATCTTCAACTTTCTAACAGTACAAATTCTGATATTGTATATATTTTTCTTCCAGAACTGGTACCCTACATTCCCCAGACTCGCTCAGAGACTGACTGGTATTCAAATTACTCAGACTGGCTGGTATTTTGGATTCTATTGGCACTAATTGGAGAGGCTGGCCGATATTTCTAATTATCCTGGCATTAATAGCCTGGAAATAGTCTCTCCGCTCCTTCTCTCCCAAGATTTATGAAAGCACTAATGCTGGCATAATTATAGGCAGGAACAACTGGCAGGCTGGTACTGGCTGCCACCCAAGACTCTTACAGCTTTCCCAGAATCCTTCTCCTATTCTTTGTACACTCAGCATCCAAGTTTTAATCCTTTAAATAATGTTTCGTAAGTTGCTTAAAATATACTGTATCGTTTCCGCAAATATTTCTAACCCACAAATTTCAGAGGAGAGCAGACACTGATTTCTTCACTAGCCCGGGTTTCTCCAGCCTGCGTTCCCTATCCTTCATGAGGACAACCCATACTGTGATGATCATCAGGGCCTGCCCAAGGAAACAAGAACAATTCAGCTCCACAAATCCATTAGAATTTGCACGATACTATAACACAGCGTTTTAACACAATTTTTAAGACTTCTGCCTGCTATTTCAGCTACATTTCAAGCTACACGCTCACTTAAACCAGGGTGCTCAAGTTTCTCTTGGAGATTGCGTTTGTTGAGACAAGGGGTTTGAGACTTTAAATGGGTTTTGTTGACTGCATTCCCTGCGGTGACAAAGTAAATAAACAGGGAAGGGGGAATGGGCTACTGCAGGTACAGTGGGTACAGAAATGGAGCACAGTCCTCCGCAAGACCTCGCTGCAAAAGTCTGAATAAAAGCTGCCAGCAACCAGGAGGCAAGATGGCAATCTGCTGCAGGCCACGCCAGCATTAACTTCTGTGTTTGGTTCATATTGGCAATAAAAAGCAACAGACTGATATTCAATCTGACACAAAGCTGAGGAGCAAACTGTCAACAATTACTATAACACACCCTAACATCTTTGCAAAGCATTTATTGCGCAAGCTCTTACACAAGTAGCTGAATTTTCTAGATATACAAACATTTAGAAGACAGAACGGGACCTAACATCCCTAAAACACACAGAAAAAACAATTTTATCCAAGACTCTCCTCGTGCATGTCTCAAGAGCGGCATAGCCACAGAGCAGACCTGGAGGGCAGGTAGGTGAACGAACACAAGCCCAAGCACGAGTGTGGAGCTCTGCGTATCCGAATTCTGGTGGACCATCACTGAGATGCGTGGCCCAGATTATCAGCCAGTACAAATGAGCACATCTCTGCTAGCCTCGAGAAGTTTAAAACTTTGTGGCAGAACAAAATTATCTCCCCTTATCTATATATAAATTAATTATTAACTACCCATCACCAAATCTTTAAATAGTGTGGTGGTGTATCTGTCTCTCTCTTGAGCAAATTAAAATGAGATGCTTACTGGATGAGAATTAAAGCTGCTTTTGAGCTGTGTACAAAACAGCAACTCACACTGCGTGAGAGGGATGTCCTTGTCTCTGGCTCAGGAACAGTCCTCCACTTTCCCATAGAAAATGAATAGGATACTCTCACTATCCATACACACAAGAAAAACATTTATTTACTACCACTTAATCACAGAATGATCATTTCACATCTAATTAGTAACAAAGGCCTGATTCTTACAGCAGTGCCAGCGGCATTTTTCAATGCAGTTACAGTTTACTGATTTTGATGAATGCTGGCATCAGGAGGAAGCATCACCTCCTTTACAGTGATGTTTTGTTTGGTATGTTTTTAACGCTACTTTTTCCAATCGGCCTTTTGCTTACCCTGAATGATCAATCCTGGCACAAAGTCATCGATCGACTAGTTCGGGTTTGTAAGTTCAAAGGGTTCAGGTTTGTAAAGTTCATAGAAAAAAGAGCCAGAAGGTGGAGTTTTCCTTAATTACAAATTTTACATTATTTTATTGTCAGACTACTGTTGCCAATCGCAGCACCTCAGGTACAGGCATATTCAGATCCTACTGAATTTCACAACACCTGTGAAGAGGGGCTGAGCCTAAGTCCTCTGAAGTCAAGGGAACTTTGCTAGTGTACATCCAACGTAACTGAGCGACAATTTGAAGACTGTCCTCCATAGTTCTTCAGGCATTTTAAGCTAAAACAGTTTATTAGCAAGGCATTACAACTATAATTCAAAGACCTGCGTCAGTCCTGAGAAAGAAAGTATTTGTGTTTTCTAATTAACGTGTAACACCGGTCACGTTGCAAACTGTTTAACCCAAATCGGGAGGGAAAAAGGTGGAATAGCAGGAATAGCTTTGGCTATTGATTACTCTGTCTTCCAGAGCCTGCAGGTCAGGGAAAACCCCAAAACTCAGAACTAAACTGAAGCAGCAGCAGCTGGGTAGAACTGGCACAGGGACATATTAAGCCATATAACCTTCTCTTCATCAAAGTAGATCAGAACACAACACACCTAGTTCCAACGAAGAAACAAAAGTAACTCATTTGTGTTTCATCTAAAGCTCATCTAATGAGGTGAGAGAAGGTTTTTAAAGTATATATGAGAAAAGACAGCTAAACCAGAGAATGGGAACAGTACTGCATCTGTTCTCAGCAACATACAGGAAAATAAAAAACAAAAATCTGCCTCAAACGCCTTTCTCCAGTCCCTCGAGCGACCCTGCAGAGGCGGGGAACCGGCGGCAGGTAGGTGGGGTGGGACGGGGCTTGCCGAGGAGCGCTGCACCCAGGGACCCAGGCAGAGCCCCCAGCACCCAGCTGGCACCGCAGCACCTCGGCCCCGCGGGACGCCCCACCTGCACCCACCAAGAGATGAGACGCTGTCCTCTCGCTACAATTCACAACCTCACCTAATCCTAGGGCTGTAAAACATGCCGCTTCTGCTGCTGTTTTACGGCAACAATTTATTTTTTGCATATACAAGTGATGCTACCTACACTCCTGGCTGCATTTTAGATGCTATAAATTACGCCTCTGCCCTGTAAAAACAGGAGGAACTAGTTGAGATACTGTTCAGCATCTGCCACGCTCCAAGATCTGAATTGCCCCAGAGAGAGACAACCTGTGCCCCACCGCGCGGGAGCGCGAAGGGGCTGCTGCCGGGGCAGCCGCCAGCCTGCCGGGGGGCAGCCGGACGCGCTCGCCCGACCACCTCCACCACTCCCCGTGGCTCCCGGGCCTGATGCCAGTTCTGCCTCTATAGGCCGAGGCTGCAGCCTTTGCACGACAGCTTTCCAGGACCTGCACGTTGCTTGTGCGTTGCGAGGGCTTCCCACAGCTCACTCGCACGCTATCCTTCCCTAGGAAGGCACTCAACTTCTCAAGGCAGACTGCCATTTTAGGGTGTTTTTCTAACTTTATCATCAGATAGATTTCTTGTTCTCCACTCATGCAAAGCCCTCTCTGCTTTGCAGCCACAATTTAATTTCCTTCTGATTGCGGATTTTCCCGTGTTTATATTTTATTCTGTGCCCTGTAGCTAATGAATGTTGCTCTAGCTGAGCTCTGGCAGAGAGTTCGCCGTTGCCTGGCAAGCGTTCTCCTCTTCGCTGACGTATTTATTTCTTGATTTCACCAGGACACAGCGTGGCATTGTAACAAAGTTAGTGCTTTTTCTTACGTGGAGTTTACACAACCAAGTGCGAGGGTATAGGGCACTGCAAGTGAATTCTCTTTTGTGCTTGGGGGCCGTGGCTCCGGTAGCTAACTGCACCCTACGTCGGAGGCACAGTTTGCAACGGCACATGCAAAAGGGAGTGGAACAGCTTGCCGAGCTCGCTGTTGCAGGTAGATGAGGCTCCCGCCGATGCAGGCACAGCCAGCCTGCATCTTCAGGCTTTTTCTTTAATAAGCCTTAACAGCAAGTTTTAATTCAGCAACTTAAAATTGCATTTCTCTCTCATATCGAAAAAAATTTTCAGAGAAGCTACACCTGTGACATTAACTGTCTCACAACCCGACAACTACATTTCAGTCAGGAGTCTTGTCAAACAATTGGAGAGGTACCAAATTCCTTTGTGCAGGGCCATTATTCTTTCACCGTTGCTGGCTAGCCGTCCACTGGGAGCTCAGCTTTCAGGATTGTTACTGAGAAAACAAGGTAATTAAAACAGATAGACTAAGGGAATCAGGATGCCTTCATTTTTCCCCGTTGGTACATGAGCTAGCCTAAATGAAACTACTTTTGCCCTGTGAAAAACAGGCATCATAACAATTCTTTCTGAAGACAAAACTCCAGGTATATACTCAGTATTAAAGGGTTTAAAGGATGAAAGCACTTTAGAATTGACTTACATATATCCAAAATTATGGACTAGAGTCCATGTGGACAAAATTAACGTCAAAAGTATTTGCACTGTATTAACGGTCTGTTGTTGATCTTTCTCCTGACAAGACCTTCTGTTGCTTCCCTCCCCTCTGCAGGCTGGAATCATTCACGGTGCTGTTACATCCCCATGGCTCCACGCTACTGGAAGCCTTGCAAGAGATCACAGCGGCACAGTCAAGGTGCCGCAGAAGGTGTAATGGGATCATCCTGGCCCATCCTTTTGGAGAATTGTCTTTTTCATCTCCTTTCCCAGACCTCACACGCCACTTTTCTTCTTCACTGACAACCCTTCCCCTTCCATTATGCGGAGAGGGACAGCAAACCATTCTGAAATTATTGTTTAAATTTAGTTTGGTTCAGCGGGTTTCTCATCATGTAGACCCCGCTTGCTGTGATACTGCATACAATAAATGTTTGCACAGTGAGCGTTTCCAAACATCCAATATGTAACAGAATACTCCCTTTAGAATATTATTTTTAGACTACTAAAACCCTCAAGAGATGTTTCTCAGACTGTACAACTAAACACCCCTTCACGTTCTTCATTTCCTGACTCTCACTTTTTTCTTTACATGTCGCCCAAGCCTTTTCTGTCACCCAATACATGTTTTTTCCTTCAAAGATGACATTCACTGACTCATGCTTTCTGCAGAAATATGGCTTGCACAATGGAAAGGAGGCAGAAAGGAATTAGGGGACGGAGGGAGGACTCACAACCAGAACCCACCTCCAGCAAATACTCCACATCTCTTGCTTTTGGCACTCTCCCCGACAGCCCGCTGCTCACTAACGATGCAAGATATTCGGGACAGAGAACTTATTTCCTTTTGTGCCTGGAAGGGGACTAATTGCCACTATGTAAAGGACACCGTTATTTTGACCCTGAACACATTCTCTGTCGAAAGGGCTGCAAGATCACGGCTCTTCTCCTTTGAGGCAGGAACAGTTTTATTCTGTGCTCAGACAGCATCCAGAAGAAAGAGATTACGAACAGAGCCCTAAGATACATCACAAGTATTTAAATAGTAAGTAACGGTAATTAACAAATGAAGTCCACCAAATGAGCGATTAAAAGTTAGATTTCAAGAGTACAGAAGCAGAACATTGTCTCTGCATAAAATACACTGAATGAAAAGTTTTCCCCTCACTGCCCCTTTCACCTCTCCAACTTTTTACCTAATGCCATCAGGATTTCATTTTCCTACTTCTACTTTCTCCTGTATTTAATTATTTTTCTTTACTCAGCAAATCCTTGTAAAGTCTGAGTGCCATTTATGTACGTATTTATTTCAACTAGTTACTACTTACCTCATCCCACTCCAGAAGGTAGCTGGTGATTTTTGAACCATTATCAATGGGTGCCTACAAACAAAAATAAACAAAAGGTGATTTGGGGAATAAGAGAAAACTACTTCCCCCCCAGGCAAATGACTAGAGTTTAAAGTGAAACCGAAGCCTGGGGTTTGCACACAGCTTGGCAACCTCTTCACGAATACTGAGAAGAAGCTGGACGTTAATGAAACACACACATTTGAACAGTCAAGTCAGTGCATGGCGAGGGATTTGTCAGAGTACAGCAAGTTCAAGTCCTTTACTGAAAAACGACTGTCTCAGCTTTCAATTATTTTCAACGGCTATGCTCGCTGTCGGTAAACTGTATTTTTCACTGCTTTCTTGCCCGATCCAAGCATTACCTACCTTCCATTGTAAGGTCAAGGAGTTTTTGGTCCTGTGCGAGGGTTTGGGTGGGAAGGGACACTCTGGTGCTGAGCTGTGAGTGGTGAAGCTGACTGGCTCTGAGCAGGATCCCTTTACTGAGTTGTACATTGCATATACCCTGGAAACAATATTCAAATGGGTTATAAATCTGCTGACAGCTACAAGATGAGAGAGCACTGCCTCAGCCACAATATTTGACTACCAAAGCATCCATGATACTGTCCACTAATGACAGATTTCTCACAGACCAGTGGGTATCATTATTTTACTTCCCTTGGTACAATTATGAAAAAAAAAAAAAAAATCACAGCAGAAGAGGAACATTACAGTGTTTTGTGCAAATACTCCCACAGAACACTGAGTTATCATCATCTTTTCTTTCCACCGCTATTTCCTTGCCTATTGCCAGACTTTCACACCCTGTGCTAAGATCCTCTTCCCAATGCAACAGAAAGCATGAACTCATGAGAAGGTATAAACTTAAATGCCTGGTTTACACTTGATTCACATGTACCACGTTGAGTGCTGGAAACTGCTGGTCCCCTTCCCTGGGTACGAGCTTCTCCTGCGTAGCTCCGGTGTCAGCACTTAGTGGATCTCCATGAATTGGAACTAACACAGCTCAGGAATATTACTCTGATAAACTGAAAATCTTTAAAGCAAATTTGATTTCAGGCAAACCCTCTATATCTCAGCACCGAGGGGGATACACAATACCAAATAATGTGGGAAAGCAAATACAATATAGTCGAGCACTTCCTCACGAGGTGCTTTTCTCTGAAAAATTAATGATGTTATTTTTTCCCTTCACATTTTCCAGGCAGCAAAAGAAAAGTGCAAATTTGAAGTCTTCTACTCAAAAAAAACGCTCAAACCATGACCAGACGATGACCTCTGAGCTGGCTGTAGCTATTGTGTACTTGAATGCAGAGTTTAAGAAAGGGCAACTTCTAAATTTGTTTTCAGTAGATAAGAGTAATTTAGGTACAATGGCCACCTACGTACTATCAAACCTTTCGTACTATCAAACCTTTCGGGGGAGGTTCACAAGAGCTGCTATAGTGCTGCTGTACCCATCACCTGTTAGCAGGCGGGAGTGAAAACAAATGCAATTAATGAATTGAGTCTGCATCTGGCGAGTGGTTATGTACGTGCGCTGGAAATCAGCAGAGCTAAGCATCAAACACAGGCCATCAGGGAATACAACCGTGCAAAAATGAGCTTAATGAGCATCTTCTGCAAGTCCTTGAAACACACTCATCTCTGAAGGTACCAAAATAATACTACTTGAAGAAAGGCAGGAGGGAGATTTGGAGCGAAGCAGGTTGTCCCGGGTGCCCAGGGCCCAGCAGGGCAGGAGCGAGCGCAGGCAGCTTGCCTGTGCGGAGACGAAGCCCTGAGGGATGCTGCCAAGGTTAAGGAGACCCAAGGCGATCTGCTGAGTAACCACTGGCCCCATAAATTTCCTTACTTAACAGATTTATTTCTTCACAGTTGTTAATACATAATGCAGTTTCAGTGAAGAAAAAAAAATTGTCGTGGAAAGCAAACAGTCAGCCTTTTCAGTGTTGGTTCCCTCCACTACAAACACATGCTGCTGCTTTTTAAGTATGACTTTTATGTTTAGCAGTCACTTTTTCAACAAAAGTTATTGCTAACTGTTCACGAACGATTTATAATTTGGCAAACCTGCAGGAAGGCAGAGGGAACCGTAGGCAGGCAGAGTGCGGTCAGCCAGGACACGGGGCAAATACCCCCGACGCCCCTAAAAATCACACGAGACCTCAACGCCACGCTTTGCACGGCAAGCGCTCTGCTCTTTGACGCTGGCTTTAAAAATGATGCTCAATTGCTTACAGCAGGACATTCAGCAGTGTTTTACAACCTTCTCCTCCTTGCTACCATCCATTTGCTGCTAGGGCTGGGACTACTGCCCAGCCTGGGAGCCTGGGTCTCTTATATACAAGAAGTTACTTCTGGTCTTGTGCTTCTACTTGCAAAGTTCATTTTAGGACTCCTCTAGAAAATATCCTTAAAAAACCCAGAAGCTATAGTATCAGAGAGAGACAGACACATTTTTGGTATTGGGTCTTCTTTAGAGCTCAGAAGCAAAGTGTTTGGTTTTTAAAGTTTTACAAACAGTAATAGCCTTGATAGGAAAAAGCATGCCAAACCTAGCCCTTGTCTGGAAAAACAGAAGGAAACAATAGACAGGAGTGAAAGGAATTTTTTTTAAAAGGATATTGAGCATAAGTGAACAGGATATGAATTTGAAGCCTTGGTTTGTAAGCAAAGTCTTTAAAAAAATCCAATGTGAGCAGGTAACAACACAGCGTTAAAACATCAGGGAGCAAAACTGAGAATGTGTTAATAGTTACTAAATGTGTAAACACATTTTTAGAATCAAAGAGAACTATGTTCTAAAAACATCAAGACAGGCCAGTATGAATCAGGTTTTTTGGAATAAATGCTGAAATTACGATGGTCGGATGGATCAGCAGATTTACTTCGTGAAGCAAGGAGTATATATGACAAAATTGTGCTGGAGTACTTTCAGTGCTAGCACACCTATGCGACAATAATTAGACAAACGCCAGTTGCTTTAGACAAATGTTGAAGATGCTGGAGGTATCCCACTTCGATACATGAGCACTTCCAGGCCTGTCACACATATAGATACGCAGATCTCTGTTTTTTTTTCTCTTACTATAGCAATGACAACAACATGACAGAAAACGTATTGTTCAAAAAGCACTCTTGTAACGTAAAGTCCGAGATAAAAATCTATTAGAAAATATTTAGAAGCCACTGAAAAAACACCTACAGAGGTGACCGTGAAATTCTTGAGCTATGCTGTACAGTTAGATAAAAAACTTTCACATTTATTCTAACATAATCGAAGAGTTTATATTTAAGTGACATTGATAGTCACACTAACTCACCTGACGTGATAATCTGTTGCTGGCCTAAGGTCTTTCAGGTTATATTCTAATTCTTCTCCACTGCAGGAAAAAAGCCCAAACCCAACAAATCAATAAATTACGAAAAGCAGTATCACACTTAGCACAGCTAGTGATTTCCCAGTGACTAGCGACTCCCTCATATTATGATTCGAAAGAAGAAAAAAAATCCCACCACAGAAAAACAGTAGGAAACAACATACCAACAATTTGTTGACACACTTCAGGTTTCTTGAAAACTTTATAAAGCTCCGTATACATGGCAGAAAAGTAGTTATCACCCCAATTTATACAGTGAACTACCTATATGCGTTTATTTCAATGCCGTCCTTACATTTTGTTGATATTTGCATAAAGCTCTTTGTGTTTTTCAGCCCTCACAGAGCTGGAAAGAGCAGAACTGATACATTACTTTTGTACTTTCTGCACATTCACTCTTTCAAAACACTTTCTAAAAAGTGAGAGTCATTGAACTTTAGAGGAAAAAGTGTATTTTCTCACACAATCATTCCACTTTTCTGCTTTCTCTTCCAGAACCGTGCTCTCTGTGAGGACCACGGCAAGGAGATGTTTAATTAATGCCCTAACAGCTGGACCCAGATATCTTTCAATACGAAGAAAAGTAAAAGCACAGAGTTTCAGACATTTTAGGAAATCAAACCAGCATACAATCTCTTAATTTCAAACATAGCCAACATAGTTAGGGCTATTCTTTTTCATTTTGGTTTGTTTGCTGGTAACTGAACAATAGGCTCAGTCATGTGTTGCCAATTCTGTGAAGATTAAGGTACGGGTCAATGCTCAACAAGTAATAGCCATCTCATGTAAGTGCTTGGCTTATTTGCGATTTTATTAAAATACGGGAAACAAGAAAATTCTCAATTTAGCATAAAGAAATATTTCATAGATAGTTGGACAAACACAGGGAAATACCTCAAAATCAAGAGAACAAAATCAACCAGAAAGCACATGCCTGCTGGGCTGCCAGAAATCCACCAAAACCCCTTCTTTTTTTCATATAGTCCAATGCTCTGCAAATTCAGTTTTTTCCCTCTGAAACGAGTGCACCTCTTTGTAAAGACAATGTATTCAACATATTGTAGACTTTCTTTTGCCTATAGTAATAACGATTACTGCTGCTCGTGACAGAGCGTACCACATTAAGCTAATGGCTGTACTCTGGCCAGCAGCAGGAGACAGATTACTCCTAGCAGCTTTAAAACAGATGCACAACATTTCATAACCAGGAGACAATGTGCAGCCATCATACCAGCAAGCACAAGAAGTGCTAGAAAGCATCCTTGCCATTTTAAGAGCTCAGCAGCACACATTAACCTATAGAGATGCTCACACTGGCTCACAAACAGCTAGTCTAAATACCAGAACAAAAATCAGGCAGCGTTTCCCTGGTTAATATCCTCTTTTTATACTACCCAGGACAGTTCAGGCAGACCTGCCTTTAGCATACCAGGACGAATACCCTAATTCACAGGACATTTTAAGAAAGGAGATAGCTTGGTCCCAAGAGGTAATTCCATAAATGCTGTACCACCTGGACTCTATTTAATGAGATTTGGGAAGGATTAGCTATTTCCCCAACAGCCAAGGTCACATCTCAACATTTTCTATCCTAGACGTCATTAGCGGGGAAAAAGAAAGGCATAATACCATATGTACTTGATCACAGAATGAGCTCAGAGGATCACTGGAAGGAGAGACAGAGAAATCCCTCAAAATTTTTACTGAAGACCGCTGAGAGCCCAGTATTCGGGTTTTTCTGGGGAGCCTATAAAGCCTACTGATGGGTGTGCTCTCTCCTCTGCTCATCTAAGACACTACAAAGCAGTAAAGCCCTCACCTTTTGCTCATTAGCTCAAAAAGCAAGCTTGACTGTTCTTAATTCTGCACGTCCAAATTTAGCCCATTAGGAAGGCAGCTATCCTGCCTGCATGGTATACACGAAAGGTTTTGACATTTAGCACAAGAGAAAAAGTAACCTTTTCATTGGCAATGGGAGAGACAGCATCACATGCAAGACCTGCCCTGTGCCAGGGAGGCGGGAAGGGAAGGCAATTAGGGACCTTGTGATGTGCGCTCGACCAGCTCCCCGCAAGCTCCTCCAGCAAGGGGGGCTGACGGGACGGCGAGGGAGCAATTACAGCGTGGTCAAATGTGCCTTTTTTCTGCGACTGACGGGCATGCCAAAATAAACCCTGAAAAGCTCAGAGAATTTATTCCTAACGAAAACACAAGTGTAAAAATGATGCTGTTACCTGTAAATTATCTTGTATTTTCCATCCCTCCCTTTATCCGATAAGGCAACCTCATAGGTACAGGTGTAAGGCAAACTGTTGTTGTGTCTATCTGCATTTAGAAGGCCAGTGGGAGGTGACCAGGAAAGCAAAACTGTTCTTGCTTGAATATTTGTAACCTGTAAAAGAAACATCAGTTACTCTGAATTCCAATAAATACACTGTCCCTTAAGGATTTGCTTTTTGTTTGCATCTTCACAATCAATTTCTTGTAAAAAGGCAATTTCAGAGCTATCGGTGAAAAGTAAAGGGTCAGAAATAGTCATCAACAACACAAACAAAAATACAGATTCATGGCATCAACTAATCTCTAACAGATGAGGAATAGAGAGATGTCCCCCCGCAGCGAGCTGGCTCGTCACTGCCTGCGCATCCAGCAAAGGATGCCTCGCACCATTCCGGAGGTACCTGCTGCCGTGGCCATTACCAGAAGGCAAGTGGAACTAAGTGAAACAGAGACTTTAACCTATCGATTGTTTTGTATGCAATTGTTTTTCTAAAGCTTTTGTTAGGGAGATTCTCTGATAAAACCCTGATGGCTTTTTCAGTCATCCCGTTCCTTCTTCTAATTTGAAACTGCAATAATTCAACTGCAAATAAGTAAAAAAACCCCAATTCAATCTTCAAGGTTACGCTGACCCAAAGGGATAAGGGAAAATCATACGAGAAGTCCAACCTGTCAATTAAAAATTACATTGCAAATCCACCACTTTGTGCCCTGAAAGACTGCATGGACGATCTGTAGTCACCCCTGGGTGCGACACCTCAATGGCAGATAGGGGAGGATTCTCCTTTAATAAAACAAGGAAAAAATACCTCAAAACCCTGCACCAAAACAACCTTATCATCCCTCCAGAGCAGCTGTATTCTTCTGGCCAGGCAGGTCCAAATACCTCTAGAGTGACCGAGCTTACAGAACCAGCATCGCCTTTCTCACCAGGAGAGCCCGCTGGCACGGTGCCGGAGGCATCGTTCATCAGCTGCATGTACCGACCAGCAGCTTCCCAGAGAACAGCCTTCTGTTATCAAGCCAAGAAAGAAGAAAAAAAAAATCCTTCCCCTCCACCGTCTCAAAAGAAAAAGAAATAAAAACCAATAGTTGCACTGGCTATCTTGGAAAGACGGCACAACATTTCTATGCACGCCTTCTGCAAAAAGCCCAGCGAAGCCCCAAAGCCTCCATCGCCCCAGGCTCTCCGCCACAAACTCTCCACTTCTTGTAATGAAAACGACTGCGTTTTTCTTTCTTAATTGTAGTGAAAATGTAAATAATACTTTTTTAGCTAGCTTCCATGAGGAGGAATCAAAGCACAAGGTTTTATATTCTTTATTCATTTCTCCTACGCATCAAATTTCACTGGTTCTATCATTTTAACAGATTTTTCCAACACACAGAGCAAAACGTTGTTATTTTAGAAGGCGTAAGATGAATGATGCAGGTGCTTGGTTACACATTTCCTACACTTTTCTTGAGACAGTTGAAACACCTTACCCAGAAATGCTTTGGTAGTGAAATATTAGCCATCAGCTTGTAAACTGCTTGTTTACAAATCCGGCTTCTGGATACCTTTGTCTAATGGAGAATATTTAACTTCTCATAGGAAAACACGCTGCTTCCCGCTGAAGAGCACTGCAGCCGTTGTGTGACACCCATACATCAAGCAGATTCCTTCTGAGCAAGCTGTAAAGCTGGTTTTAACAGACTGACAAGTAGGTGACACCACGAAACGTCTCATCTTAACTTTAACACCGTGCTCTCAAAAGTTAAAGATTTTAATTTACAGCAGCACACTTAAGTCTTGCCGAAAAGCAAACTTCTGTTCAACCTCATGTGAAAAGCAAGTTGTAAGGCAAGAAGTTTTAAGTAGTATCAAGCTTTTTTTTTTTTTTCCATAAAAAATACGAACGTGCAAATTCTTGTATGAATTGTCATGGGGTTTCTTGCTCTAATCACGTGTTTCTGATGCTATGAAATCAATGTTTGCTTCAAAAACTTGGACCAGTGCAAACTGATACTGGATTAGATAGCTTATAGGAATCTTGAATGATTCAAATAAGACAGATGAGTTAAATTTTTGAGATATATATACACACATGTATGTGAATGAAATTTTGACAAAGATATTTAGAGCTAAAGGTCTGTATCTTAAATAGTACTTTGATCAGAAAACTGGATAGTAAGTTCCAAATGGACTTTTTTTTTTTTAACATACATTACTACTATGCCAGCTCAGCCCATCAACACGCAGTTTCTTTTATTATGGAAATATGCTTGCATAATTCTTTTTCATAAATTCAGACAGACTTGGAGCTGGAGGCATGATATCCTGCCAATGTTCTAGTGAAATGTTTTTCTCTATGACTACTCACAAGGACACACGTATATATTCTGCGTACGGCAAAAACTCTGGCCTTTCATGAACTTTAGCAATCTGTAAAAAGTTAGGTCTTTTCGTTTCTTAAAATAAGAGAAAAGTATCTTATGGACTAACCGCTAGAAAGTGTTAGACTATTATTTTGCCATCAGTGTGCAGACGTTTCCATGCAGAGGACAAAAGTCCAAAGCCAGTCGCCGAGCTGCTCCAGCTACACCAGTAACTTCTCACCGGTGCAGCGCTCAGCGTGGTGGCTGGCCCGCCTCGGTGCCGTTCTGTACGCAGTAACTGCTGGTGGAGGTTTAAAAATAAACCCCAGAAATCGTTACATGCAATTCTTAGCTGCACTGAGCACACACAGCAAGTGTAGTAAAGCAAGTGAGGGGTCACTGCCTGCAAGATGAAGTCAGAAAAGGCAAACCTATACACTCCCCGGGTATAGAAAGCAGAACAGCACTGTGCACGTCAGCACGAGCACTGGGAACGGATTTATTTGTACGGCTAGAGATAAACCTATCTGCTGCTCACCGGCTAACAGGCTCGATAGCGTATCACCTTTACCAGCCAAAGGCATCTCTCTGCGATACCTGATTCAATGGCCAAAGCCACCACTTAACTTCACGGAGGAACTCCTACCCGGAGCAGGAAGCGCTAGCTTTGCTGTGAAAAGGGTAAGTTAAATAAATGGCGTTATGATATGCTGGGAATAACACGCAGGCACTCGCAAACCAGCTCAGCAGCTTCGACTCCAACTTTTCTTGCTTACACCTGGGAAAACAAGCACCTTTCAAAAGATACGGAGCAGCTGGACAGACCTGGGCCAGCCCTTTCCATGCCGTAAGGCACAGCACAGCTAACATCACGATGGTGGGCTTAACACCACCACTGAACTTGCAGACATAAATCCTTGGCTGTAAACAAAAAACAGTTTACTGTTCGTTAACGGTGCCCTAATTTCATCCAACCGAACTATAAGCAGCCAGAGCACCTCTTCATAGGCTGGGCAGGTAAAACTTTGTGCTGCTTTCTCGTTACCCCAGCCTGTCTCATCTGTCCCCAAAATTGCCGTGCTCGCTTTGAACAGGACTGGCTTGGCCTTTTAGCCAAGACCGAACAAAAGATTCTCCCAGAAGGAGTTTTGTATGTCTGGTGAAAAGCACAGTTAATTAGTTTCTGAAAACTTCTCGGTTTACACAGCAAATGCCTGCTTTCTACGCTATCAAAACTCAGCGGTGTAAATAATTATTTCATAAAAGCCCCTGGGAAAGAATCCCAGCTCCTGCACTACTTTAATAAGGTTACAAGACTGATGAATATCGGTCCTTCCCGTCTTTCAGGTAATGAACAATGTTTCTGTACAACTTTCATTATCTTTCAAATTCCGGCTTAGCATTCACAGGCATCGTGTGGTTCAGGGGTTTATTGTATGTGTGAGAACTACACTGCAAGCAACATTCATTTACTCCCTCGAGGGCAATGTTTGAAAGACTCGGGGGTCAAATGAATACACGGTTATTACCGGGTTGAGATTTTGCTTTTAAACTATGGGTCTAATCCTGCAGTTTTAGGCAAAAATCCCGATGATTAAATATGAGTTTTGCCGCAGAACAAGTCAGCAGGAGCAGGCTGCCTCTTGGAAAGTCAAACTAATGTTTGAGCTCCGACTCCGCGGAGCAGCGGCGTTTCCCCGCGGGAGGCGACGTCGGATGCAGCGACGCGCCCCCCCGCCACTTCGGAAACCCAGAATCAAGTTTCCCTTCCCTCATCGAGGTGTTTGCTTTAGAGAATGCTTACTTTGTCTGCGATAATGCGAATTAAAAATATATTTCAGTTTAAATAAAAACACGGGGGAAAAGAGCAAAAGGCTTCTTTTAAAATTTTTGCTGTCAAAGGGATAAAACTAAGATTAAATTTACAGTTTGGTTGCACATCTCCAACAGGTGACAACATCTATTATCGAAAACAGATTTTTTTATAAATTAATAATTTTAAAAGCGTGTATATTTTGCACTTGGAAAGGTGAGAGAGACTTTGTCACAGATTGGTACCTGGACAAGCTAGATTAAAGCGGCTCCAGGCGCTACCAGGGCTGCGGAGTCTCCTGCAGGAGCTGCTCAGAGGGCTGATCCCTGCAGACGGCTGCAGGTGGCGGAGGGAGCTGCTCGCCTGGACACACCAAAGCCGTGTGCTGCAGACATCGCATCACTTGGCTTGCCACCGACTTACTGCTCTCTGCCCTTTCGTTTTTATTGTGTCACTTCTTTCTACACAATCGTTTTTCTACACATTGTTTTACTTTTCATTCATATATGCATAAGGCTCACCAAGAAATACGGCCCGGCTGACTATTTATACGTAATATGATGTATTTCTATCAGATATAATACTGACTACACACACACGTAATCATTCATAGCAATTAATGATTTGGGAGACTCCTGTGAGTTTAATTACTCACAAATGTCAAAGTTACAGAGAGAATAACAGATAATCCCCAGCATCTTCTCACTAAATGTCATTACTATTGAACTAGCATTTATCGTGTTTTAGCTTTTTTTTTTTTTTAGGATTCCTATTTTTGAAATGATTCAAGAAAAATTATTTTTGTCTATTGGTAGTTTTTTGCTCCCCTCTGCTTTATGTGCTCTGGTTACCATAAATCTAATTGTATAGAGCTCAGAATCCCGCAAGCTGCTCAAATAGCTTCCCTCCTTACCTCTATAGATATAGGTATGAAATAACACATTTTTCACGTCAGCTCTCCGGATATCTGTGAAAGGCATCTAGCTGTGGCATTTTACCAGATGAGCAACATTCAGGTAGTCCTCGATACAAAAATATTGACTCACTCTGTACAATAAACTAGCCTACTTTTGCGATAATTGCACTTTCTTCCATTCTGATCTCCCAGAAACTCTTCTCTCAAGTCTTCAGCTTAGTATCGTCACTTTTCTCTACACGAAATGAAGCAACTTTCCTTCTTCCAAACAGAAACTCGGGCTGCAGCCCCCTGGTATTTATCATCTCTGCAGGTCTGGTTTAGATTCTGGCTGGCTTTGAACCTGCTCTTGTAGACGCCAGGACAGTAGGATCCAACACCTATTGACTGAGCAATTTAAGACCAAATACCTTCTGTATTTATTCAGAACAAAAGCACCTAAGAGAACAGATCCTAAAAATAAAACTCAGCCTGTGCTCATGCCTGCCTCTCCCTGAGCTCTGCCACTTCTGCATCTAAGGAACAACCACCCCTTCATGCTCCCACTGCAGAATTTCTTTATATCAGCCTCTATCAGCTACTATTGAACCCAGTCTTTAGATAAGCTTTCCAACTGTTTTTCTTTTTCCTTTGCTTATTTGTTTACTAGCTTTCCAGCTGGAGAGAAAAAGGCCTGAGCCCTGAGAGAGCCAAGGAGGTAAAAGTCCCAAAGCACAGCCATCTCCCTCTGCCTCAGGACTGCTTCTTCAGGTGCTTGTTTGGACCGTTCATTTAGACCCACAATACCCTCCTGGTTTTAATTTGACACACCAAACCAGAAAAATGTCACGTTCAAAGGGCTTACAACCAGATTTATTAATAACCTTACCTGACTGTGGTCACACCCAGCATGGTGATTCAATTTCCATTACAAGTCACGTGCTTTTATGGCTCAGACAAACTTAGAATATAGCAATGGCCATTGAATAATAGAATTAGCCTGATTTAATAACGATTACAGACATAAATTGCTCATGACAAATAAAATTAAACCCAGGGGAGAGGGGATAGGAGCAATGTGAATCACCCCAGTGCGCTGGGTTCCCCATGGCAGTATGAATACTGGGAGCTGTCCTCTGGAAACAGGCGACTGCTGCGGCGGGCAGAGCCCACAAATACCCATGAGCATAAAAGATGCTTCAAATTTATATCCCGGCAAAATGAGTTAGATAGAGACAGCAGCAACAAGCTATTAAGGAGAAAACTCAGAAGTGCTCCCCTGTGAAATCACCACTGTGTTGCGACACAATCTACTTATCACATTTGCTATTTTGTGTATGTGTGTGTGGTAATTTGGGATCACATACCTGTGGTTTCTCCATTCCAGAAAGAATGTCTTGAACCCTTTTTGTTTCTGAATCAAATTCTGTAAAATAGAGAATGTGGAAATAGGAAGAAAAATAAATGACCAAAATTAAACAAAAGTGTCAGCTATATCAATAATCCTTCAGGAATTTGTGAATAGGAGAGAGAGAGATTACCTGTACACAAGCATCAGCCATTTTGCTCTTGTGAATTTAAGGTATGCAGTTATATAGATTAATATTAAAAACCTGTAACAAAGGAGGGAATGAAACTTCCAACGCTCGCAGATATTCAGAAAGGTGGGATTATGGGCAGAGGTGTCCTCCACAACATTATTAATTGGGATTTGCTTTCACAGAGCAAAAACATCTTATTTCCAAAGCTCAGCCATGGAAGAGGCCCAGGGGTTTCTACAGCTCAATTACTGCTGAAC